CGGGCGTGTGAGCACGTGTGCGCGTGCCCGGGCGTGTGCCCGCGTGTGCGTGTGCCCGTTGCCTGTGCGCGTGTGCCCAGTGCCATGTGCGGGCGTCTGTGCCACCTTCCCTGACGCCTGCCCCGTCCCCGCAGGCCCGCTCGGGACCACACTTGCTGGCCCCCGCCCCGCCCACCTCTGCCACGTTGCTCGCTCAGAGAATGTTCCAGAAAGGGGTCACACGTGGGCACCTGCTCACTCATGTTCCTCCCGTGTGACTCTGCGGCGGCCGCCGGCGCGTCTCCCCGAGAGCCCAGCCCCTGGGGGCACCCACAGGAGCGCGCCGCACCCGGTGGCCGGGGGGGCGGCCCCGTGTCCCCGGGGGGTGCTGCGCCCCCCCCAGCCCCTGCTGAGCGTCAGACCCGCAGCTCAGGACAGAGACGGGCCCTCGGCGCCCGGCCAGGGGCGGGCAGGGGTCCGTGACATCAGGGGACACCCTGGCTGAGGTCCGGGGGCGCCCGTCGGCCTGATCAGGGGCCAAGAAAAGGGAAGTGGCACGAGAGTGTCCACTCCTGACCCGCCACTCTCCGGGCATCTGACAGGACCTAAGCCGCCCGGGGGGCCAGGGCAGGGCCGGCCAAGGGACGGGGGACAGGGCTGGGGGCAGTGGGGTGTGCACGCCAAGGGCCTGTCCGCACAGGGCCCCAATTTGTAGGCTGGAGCACCCCACGTTGATGTCCTACGAGGAGACAGTGACACTCACTGCCCTGGAGGGGCCAGGGCGCCCGTCTGCCCACAGCCCCAGGGGGGCGTCTCCTCCCCCCACTGCTGTGTGGACACAGACCATCTGTGCTGGCCAGGGGCGCTAGGTGTGGGCGTGAGTTCTGGGGTGCAGGCCCCTCCCGAGAGTCAGGGCGAGTCTTGATCGCGCATCTGAGCATTGTGGGGAGAGGGAGGAGGTGTCAGGAACGGCTCTGCCGGGTCCAGGCCCCCCGGCCCACCTGGGGCCTCGGGCGGAGGAAATGGGGCTGCAGGGGGACACGCACGAGCAGTGTGGGGACCAGTGTGGGGCGGCCCTGAGGGAGCCAGAGCCCACTGGGGCAGCGGGCATGGGGGTCGGGTCCCCGGAGGGAGCCCTGGGAGGAGGTGCGGGGTGCCAGGCTCCTGCGCAGCCTGCTTGGCCGGCAGCAGCGAGCTCCACACCCAGGGGCGTCTCCCAGTTTATTGGACAACTGCAGCGGCTGACAGATCCCTACAAGCAGCCCCCGTCACCGCTCAGACCTTGGGGCTCCCCGGGGCCTCTCCCCCCTGCGGGGGTCGCCGCGGTGTCCCCGGGACGGAGGGGCCCTACGCTCGGCCCCTCCTCCTCATCCCGCAGCGCCCTCCGGAGCACCTCCCGGAGGGGGGCCCTGCCGGGCCGCCCGCGCCTCCCCACGAAGAAGTAGATGACGGGGTTCACCGCGCTGTTCAGGATGGGGAGAAGCTGCATGATGGTCTTCACCAGGGGGCCGTAGAGAGGGTTGGCGGACAGGGTGGACACGAGGAAGTGAACGCTGAAGGGCACCTGCAGCAGCAGGAAGGCCAGGATGTTGAGCAGGATGGTCGCGTGCAGCCGGGCGGGCCGGGCCCCCCAGCGGCCGCACTGGACCCGGACGAGCAGCGTCAGGCCGGACACGCACAGCACCAGGAACGTGGTGAGGGTCACCACCTCGTACAGCCACAGGACCCTGTGGCACGGGATGTCCAGAAACGAGTGGCACAGGTGCTCCAGCACTTCGCAGCACAGGGCCAGCGCCCAGGCGAGGGCGCACACGACGCCGGACAGGCGGGCGGGGCGGCGGCACCGGTACCAGAGCGGCCAGAGCACGCAGACGCAGCGGTCGGCGCTGACGGCCACCAGCAGGAGCATGCCCGCCAGGAACGAGGTGTCCCACACCAGGTCCAGGAGCACCGCCGGCTGGCGCGTGTGGGGGCTGAGGAGGGTCAGCAGCTTCCAGGCGCAGGAGCAGAGCAGGAAGGCGAAGTCGGCGCAGGCCAGGTGGAGGATGTACACGGAGGCGGGGCTGCGCCGCAGGCGGAAGCCCAGCAGCCACACGACGGCGCCGTTGCCCGCCAGGCCGCACAGGCCGACCAGCACGGTCAGCAGCGACAAGGCGTACTCGGCCTGCCAGAAGGGCTGGGCCCCGTCGGCCCGGGGCGTGCCGTTCCGGGTCACGGTGTCCGGCAGAGAACAGGGCTCCGAGCCTGGCGACAGGTTCCCCGGGCTGGGAGGGACCCCCAGGCCGGGGTCTGTGGGCCCCCCCGCCATCACGGGCCCCGGGGGGTCCCCTGTGGGCAGAGGGGGGACGGGCCGGTGCCTCTGAGGTCAGGGGAGCGACCCTGTCCGACGCCCGCTGCAGACCCCCCACGGCCCTTGGGAGCCAGGACCAGGGAGCCCGGGGGACCCCAGACCTGCCGTCCACCAGAGCCCGGGGGCCGTCCCTGGCCCCAGAAGTCGCCCCGTGTCCCAAGGGCCGGACTAGAGCCTGATGCGTCGCTCACGGCTGGGCCAGGCGGGTCCTGCTGTCCCGGGGTGGCGAGTCCCCGGCTCCTCCACACGGGCCTCTCCCTCCGGTCCTGGGAACGGTGACCACAGATGACAAACGACAGCGTAGTCAGGACTCACGGGCCCTAGGGACATGGTGACATCCAACCAGGCAGTGACAAAGGCCTCAGGGTGGCGCTGTCCTGATCGTCAACCCAGAGACCAGGCAGGTGGCCGCTCTGGGTGTCAGCTTGGTGGACACAGGCACGCACACTCACACGCTCAGTCACACGCTCAGTCACATGCTCAGTCACACACGCTCAGTCACATGCTCAATCACATGCTCAGTCACACACACTCAGTGACACGTTCAGTCACACATGCTCGGTCACACGCTCAGTCACACGCTCAGTCACACATACACACTCACATGCTCAGTCACACGCTCAGTCACACACTCAGTGACACGCTCAGTCACACAC